GCTCGGCCACCTCCTCATAAATGGATACAACTTGATCTGCGCTGCTCTGCGTGATGTCGCTTGCATATTCTTTGCATGCAGTCAGCACGGACAGCGTCTTGGCCTGCCAGTCGATCATATCCTGCAGCTGCTGCAACAGGGCTTGCGACCCGTGCAGCACAAACGCCAGGTACCAGTCCTGATGCTCATAATCGTGTTCTGCTCTCCAGTCTGCGAGCTGCTCCAGCCCATTCTGTTTGGGCGAGCTGAGACGTTCGTGAGCCTGGCACAGCTGCTCCCACGCCTCGGGTAACGACTTGGCCGAAAGTGGTGCGCTCACATCCGAGCATTGTGCGCGTTGCCGTAACGTGTCCACGCGATGCATTGTGTCAGTGTCGGTGGTACCCGCCCTTGCCACGGCGTCCAGAGCATCAATCAACGCCAGCACCCGCCGCTTGATATTGGTGTCAGTGCTGGTAAGCCGTTCTTGGCGCTCGGGTTCCACATTGTGCAGCATGACGAGTTTGCCCAGAGCTGCTGCAAAGTCGGTGGGTGGCGTCTCAAACGCAGTCGTGGGCGCGGTGGCTGGAGCGGGACATTTTGCCAAGATGTTCTGGAGTTCAAGATATACTGGTTGGAGCTCAATCTGCTCTGTTAGACTTTGCATCTTTTCAAGTACCGATTCTAGATTGTCAATGTTGGGGTCCAGTTGGCTGAGGCAGCCCTGTAGCGCTTCGGGAACTGGCACTGCTTGGTCGAGGACGCCGAGGGCGCGGGTGATGGTCGCTTTGAAGGCAGGCCAGTTCAAGGCAGGAAACTCTGGTGGAGCTTCATCGATGGTGTTCTGGATCTTCGTAACCATTGCTGCGAGATTAGAGTTTCGCTTGATGGCACCGCTGATAAAGGCATCGAGGTGCGGGAGGGGGTGAGTGGTGGATTGCTCGGGCAGGAGCGGTCTGAGCCAACCTTCCACCGACACCACAACAGCGGCCGTCGTCTATAGGGGGATGTGGTTGAGGGGAGGTTGAGATAGGGATGGAGTGGGGAGCAAAGATTGTAATTGGAAAAGGAAGAGCGGAGAGGTGTGTACCTCAAGGGACGGTGCAGGACTGGGCAAGGGCGGCAGCCAGGCAAATAGCTGTGCAAGGCGAGCCTCGTGGGCAGTGAAGACGGGCTCCAGCCTGTTGGCATGCCCACGTCGACGTCCAGCATCGAAGGCCGTCTCCCCTCTCTGAGAACATATTCAGGGGAGGGACGAGGTGTGGTAAGAGTTGAGCGATGTGCATGTGTTTTTTTAAAATGAAAGCCAGTGCAACGATGCACATGATTAAGCAGGAGACGTTCGGCGAGTAAGCGGGGTACAGATCAGGCAAGAGGTGGCAGGGTATCTCAACAGAAGGGTTGATTAACAAATAATTAACAAAACTCGTGTTTGGAAAAATATCGTCAAATGTGCAAAGGCAAGATGCAAAAAATGACGACCAGCATGTGTTTGAGCGCGCGAGGAAAGCAGAGACACCATGATGATGGCAAGGGATTGGGTGGCGTCCAGATCAACA